CAGGACTTTTTTTTAACATCTGAATCCAACCCATAGTCTTAGGATTTTTCTTCATCTAAAAGCCGATCAGGTTAGAACCAGCTCAGGTTTGTGGAATCAGCCAAGACTTTCATTGTGCTAGATAGTGGCTGGGTTACAGCATGGGTATCAAACTTGCCACATCATCACATGACGTTTCAGGACATTTTACCGACATGTTTCACGACATTCGTGGAACTGGGGTGGATGTGGCCTGCATGTGACACATCCAGCCTGCACTCTGCCAGTTTGACACCCTTGGGTTACAGAAGTGTTATAAAACTACTAAAACTCTACATTACAATGTTTCCATAATGTGAAAATGCTAAGTACCTGTGTCTATAATTTGAATAAAGTGAATAATTTTTGAGATAAAGAACTACATTCTGTAATAATTTCCAGAATATTGCTTAGATTGGTTCTTTTGTAGTAGGCAGGCATGTAGTTACTTATTGCTATTCTCTGAAGTTCAATTAACTTCAGATACTATAGTTGAACTCGTAAAAAGTTACATGAAAAGCAGTTAATTTCTACTTCATATACACTTGTGATGATCAAACTTGATTGCCTGTCAGATTAGTTATTTCTTGTCAGTACAAAGAGATCTGCTGTTAAACATCTCCAAGATCACAAGACTGGAATTTATGTAATCCTGGACAGAGCAGAACAGACTTATGATCTGAATTAACAAGTTTTTTTAAAAAAAAACACAAAACAAATGAACCTTCAGTAAGTTTGTAAGTTTGACTTCCCTAGATTAAAGGATGTAATATCAAATAAGAATTATTTAAGAATTATTATTATAGAATAACTTGGGTTCAATGCAGCATAAATAGAAAAGAGTCTATATGCATAAAGCAAAAATAGATAAGTTTCAGAAACTTAACAAACTCATGTTACTCTAACATATATAACATGGGAGGGTAAGATGCATAAAAGTCCCACAGATTTCTCTTGAGCTCACAGATTTGGCTCATGGAGATAAACTTAACTAATATGACTTAACTGTGAATCATTTGATTGTGTGTGAATAGCTTATTAAGATAAGCTATTCTAATGAAAGATGGTAAGTTCTTTAATCGTAAACAGTATCAAATAATGTTTTAGTGCTTACATCCACATTAAAAGAAAGATAGAAAAATAATGCAAACAATACATCTGTTGATGTAAACTGTATAAAACTTACTGATTGTTACCAATAGGCCCCTTGTCCATTACTATCCCAGCCAATCACCTGATGGGTTACTGAGGATTATACATGGATATTAACAGCTTCACTTTAAATATAGACCAAGGGTCCCCAACCCCCAGGTTGCGGCCCATTACCAGCCCTTGAGCTGTTTGGAACTGGGCCATGAAAGTGATGAGTGAGCATGTGCGCATGCATCCCCATGTGAACGAGTGCAAGTGCATACACTCTATTTGTATGAGCAGTGGGCATGTATGTCTGCTGCTCACATGGAACCATTTCCTCTTGTGTCACTGTCCCCTCACTGGGCCGCAAACCCAGAAAGTTTGGGGAACTCTGATATAGACCATGTTAAGGAAGTAATATCTCTGTAATTATTATTGCTGCTCAACTTCTCCTGGTTTGTTAAACATTAATCTAAACATAAATTTCATAATCTCTTATATGATTGACTAATATGAATATCTTTTTGCATTCTTTCTTGAAAAAGTTATAAGTAGAGGGATGATTGTCAGAAATAAAATCAGACTCTGGTAGAGGTGGTTTTCTTGCAGACATTTCATTACCAAACTAGGTAACATCATCACTATTGGTTCTATCATAGTAGCTCTGTGTAGTATCTAGTACCTCTATATGCAAGTTATCAGATGTTAGTAAAAGAGCCAATTTGTAACTGGGATTGCCTTTTTTGAAAAAAATAATTCTACAACTAACTTGAATTCAGTCATTTTTTCTAAAACCTAACCCCAATGCACTGACACTCACTGATCTTTGAAATAAATTATAGCATGATTTTCTCTATGATCAGTAATTTACTTATGGCTTTCCCCTAAGCTTAGAAATAAGATGTTTGAAGTATTTGTAAAAAAACCCCTCTATAATTAACCTACCTCAGATACATAATCAACCATTCCTCTCTTTAGGGTTGTTCTTTATTATACAGATGCCCTAATCCAGGGGTGTCAAACTCAAGGATGGATCTGGCCCACGGGGTACTTAGATCTGGCCTGTGAGAATGCCCTAGAAACCGGCCCACAAAGGACCAGCCCGTAGTGTTTCCGCCAGTGAAAATGAAGCTTGAGTGGGCTGTGTGTGGCCCGCTGAAGTTCTGTTTTTTCTGGCAAGAGTTGTAGGAGGCTATGGCAGCCAACAATGGAGCTCGGGAGCCTGTTTTCGCTGGCAGAGCACTCAGGCCACCACAGCCACCCCTGACACAAGTGCTGTTGAGCTGGCCATGCCCACCCTGGCCCCTCAAGCTCAAAGACAAGCCAGATGTGACCCTCAATGAAATTGAGTTTGACACTCCTGCCTTAGTCTGTAGATATTTGCTCTGTCCTATTCTGTGATGATTGTCTCTTTGTACAAAATAATATTTTCCTCTATCCTTTCTAGCATATTACTTAGTATCTCTTGGACTAGATATGTAAGTCCAGGGGTGGAACATTTTCATTGCAGCTATCCTACTTATCCATGATCTAGACTGCTTGTTAAGGTCATAATTCATTTATTTGGTTAATAATAGCACCTGTGGTTTTGTAAATTTATACATAACAATGAAAACATGAGTTATGTATAGTGCCATCTTCAGAGATTTAGAAATTTGGATTTTCAAAGGAGAAGAATATATTAATCAGTTTTTATATCGCTTGTCTAAGATTTCTTTTAGAAATACAAACAAGAAGGATGATAATAGGCAACCCTATTTATTGTAGTATCTTGATTTGTACTGTATCTCTTGCTACTAACCATTAATATCAATTGTGACATAATTCTGATTATATAATCAATGCAACACAGGGATAAAATTCTCTCCCATGTATGGAATGGCAGCTAATTTATTTAGATATTCCCATTCCACTATGTCAAAGGCTTTAGCAGCATCTAGTGACATCAAAGCAGAGATTTTATAAACTGTTTGATGTATGTTTCTTAATTTTCTTGTAAGAATGCTAGTAAAAATCCTGTTATCATGATTAATTGATGCACTAGGTCTATAAAAGATAATCCACATTGTCTGATTTCAAACAAAGATACATTCTGAATTTATTTTCAATGTTTGGAAAATTATTACTGATTAAAGCATTAGAAAATAACATAAACATATATGAGATTAAGATTTTCATGAAATGCATCTACAATTCCCAAATTCTTCTTCTAGGTATTTGTTATTATTAAAGTCCTTTATCACTTATTACCTGATTAATAAAGGAAAGGTTCTAATTTGCCTTTGAAAAACAACTTTTGTATCTCTATCCTACTAAAATTAAGTGATACATTTTATGGAAGGATAAAATTGTCATTTTTGTATTCTTATTCACAAATTTCCCTTCGTCATTTTAAAACACTTTTTTTGTAATTCATTTTACAAATAGAAATTGAAATTAAAATTTAATGAATTTATATGCCGCCCAATCCCGAAGGACTCCGGGTGGCTTACAGAATACAACTCTAAAAAAGAAAGAAAGAAAGAATTAAAAATAGAAAAGAGGGAACAGATTAAAAGAAGCACATCATGCACTCAATGTAGGCGGGGCTGGACCTCATTCATGAGGTCAACAGCCCCAGGCCTGCCGGGATAGCCAGGTTTTAGTGGCCTTTCGGAAGGCCGAGAGAGTGGGAAGGGTCCGGATCTCTGGGGGTAGATCGTTCCATAGGATCGAGGCAGCTACAGAGAAGGCCCTCCCCTGCGGAGTCACTAGCCGGCATTGTCCGGTCGATGGCACCCGGATAAGGCCCATCCTGTGAGATCTTATCGGCCGTTGGGAGGTATGTGGCAG